AAGTGGATAGAGAAAAAAAAACAATATAAAGACAGTATAAGAACAGTATGAGAAGAAAATAAATAATATAATATAATATAAACACTGTACAAGAGAGAAAAAACAGTAAAAAACCACAACAGATAACACAATAACACAAATACTAGCAATATATAACTATAATGGTGTACATATGGTGTGCTAAAAAGCAAGAAGATTGTTAAGATTAAGTTAGTTTGTTGCAAACAATTTCATTTCTTTCCTGATATAGTACTTTTTTGGTAATTGAAATGAAAGCCTTGTGAGCATGAGGCTACTAATTATTTTGTTCAGTGTGGCACACATTCCCATTATGTCATCTGTCTGTTTAATTAAAAAAGGTGCTGTAATTATTGCTCTATATGTGAGGGTGTTTCCACTCTGTCTTCTCCTTTCTGACTCCAGTCCAGTGTAAGGCCAAGTTCCAGTCTCCCAGTTTCCATGTAGACCAGCCCATCCAACTCCAGGTCTTCCTCCAAGCCGACTGTCCTCATCCTGTATCGTTCAACAAGCTGTCCGTCAGCCTCAGCAACCAGGTACGCTCTACACAGATGTCATAAAAGATAGAAAACATTTTAGTTCTCCAGCATCAGGCACAGTGATGGGTTGAGAAGAGGTGTTAATGAAGAATGGAAGTTTCTTTTAGAGTTTAAGAATTAAACAGTTTTTAAACACATTTGGAATTTCTAATTGTATTTGGGAAATGTGCTTATGGGTTAACACATTGGAGCATTGAAATGCAAAATAAAACAATAAAAGGCAGCTTTTTGAAGCAGTTTTCTTTTTTCATACCCAGCACAAATATTCTGTCCAGTCGTGGGAATTAAAATGTACACAATTTTGTGTGTGTGTGTGTGTGTGTGTGTGTGTGTGTGTGTGTGTGTGTAGGAGTACAACCAGTGGTGTGTGGTGGAGTCTTCGGGTCAGGAGAGTATGAGCCTGTTGCCAGGAAAAACCAAATGCTACAACTTCAGCTTTGTGGCAAAGACCGAAGACGTTGGCAAGAAGATAGAGGTGAGGCAGTGTGTGTGTGTGTGTGTGTGTGTCTGTGTGATAGAGAGAGAGCGATGGAGATTGTTACTGACTGAGTGTGTTGATGCACATTTAGATGACAGGTATTGAGGTGATGCTGGGCAGTGACAGTGGTCGCTGTGTGTTTGTGAGCTGGAGAGGGGCGGGTGGAGACGCAGCCTCTACCCACGAAGCCTTGCAGGCTAGCAGGTCGTCGCGTCGATGGGGGCGGTGCTTGGAGGCCCGTCAAGAGCCGGACTGGGACAGCCTGACCATGCAGCACAGTACCATGTAAGGCTTTGTTCAGACACAACACAATCAGAGTGCTACTGGAAAACTCTGTTTCTGCAGTGTCAGACATGATCCACACAGCATCAGCAGGACTGTGAAATGTTTGTTTGTTTGTTTGTTTCTGCTGCTGTTGTTCAGGATCATCTCCAGAGTCCCAAAGATCTCTGTTCAGCTGAGCCACCAGCCTCCTGCACTCAACAATGAGATGTACTGCATCAGCGTCACTATCCAATCGCAGGAGGAGAGCGTGGCAAAGGATGTCAAGCTGACAGCTGGCCTCAAGCCAGGTACGCTGATGCTACCATAACCACAGATAGTTGGATTTCTATTTCTATTTATTTGTGTACAGCTTAAACAAAGGAATGACAATGTTTTAACTAGTGAGCGTAATGAGGTTGTATGTTTTTTATTTGTATGGAGCCAGGCTAGCTGTTTTCCCTTGCTTCTAGTCTTTATACTAGGCTAAGCTTGGCTTACTATGTGTTGATATTGTTATTTCACATGTATGGCATAACACCAGTGTAATGGTTTTGTCTGTCCAGGCCAGGATGCCAATCTTGGCCAGACCACACATGTGACACTCGATGGCTCAAAGGTTTGCGACGAAGCTGCGCCCGCCCTGCTCCCTGATGTTCCTCTAGGAGATCTGAAACCAGGCGAAAAGGTACACACACACTCAGGAAGAAATGTTCTAGATCAACCTTCTAGAGAAACTTGTGTGACAGAGCATTATCTGCACTGTAACTTCTTTATATAGACACCTGCCTACATTTTCAGCTTCCCCACAGTGAAAGTAATTCCACTATCCATGGTATGTGTGTGTTTGTCTCTAGTTGGAATGGCGTGTATACGTGAAGTGTGTGTCAACTGGACCAAGAGTCTTCCTGTTCCATGTGGCCTACAGCATCGATACCACAGTGGAAGGACGACAGATTGTGTGCAAATGTCATAAGGTGAAGAACATCATGTGACCTGCAGCACACTCTCCTAATAAGTGAGTGCTGTCCATGTTGTGTTAAACGTGGTGTTGTGTTTACCTCTCTTGTTCTGTTGTGTTCCAGGATGAGACGGTTACCATAGAGACGGTGGTCCCATTCGAGGTGTCTGTCAAGTTTGTGTCCACCAAGGTCTGTAGCTGATACTTGTAGTTTATTAAAGCCCCTACAAGGAACTTTGTTTTTGTATTAGTTCTGGAAGTCTTTATGGTCAAAAATGGTGTTTCTACCACCTCGTTTCATTGATTTCAAGTGCAGTCTGACTGAATCCAACTCTGTGGCAGGCATTAAGAAAACTGACTCCGATGCCAGCGATTATGTGTTGCCATTTCTTCACTTTACGCATAACATAAGCTGTTTTAAACAGGAAGATGGTATATCGTTCACTGGTATTATTTAGTAGTGTTCTTCAGTGGGAGCCGACAGACAGAACAAAGCAGAACAGTATGCACATGCTTACATTGTTTGTGTACAGTGAGCCTAGAGATTGTGGTGGTGCAGCAGCAAGCACTATAGTTGGTGAGAGTTTATCAAGTGATATTATTATTATTATTATTAAACGCACACAAAATAATAGGTTTGATGAGTCAATAGGATTTCACATGTTTTCAATCAGAGCTATGAATCATGAAGGGAACTGAAACTAGTCCGGGCTACCTTCAAGCAGGCTGCGACTGCAGCTGGGCGTTGTTTGCTGGTCATAGTATGGGCATCTGCAGGAGAAGAGGGGCCAACAGGAGGAGGCCAGGGGTTATGAGACGATGAGGAGGATGTCTGCATCAAACAGGAATTGGGATGCCACCGCTACCCGGTCCAGTGGCTCAAAACTGCAAACACACAGAAAATAGCACAGATAATAATAATTAGGATTCCCGATCCAATCTCAAGGATGGGCTTATTTTGGGGCCATCATTTTTTGACCTGACTCCGGTATTGAAGCTTGATATTGAGCAGGAACCTAAGCCAATCCCTAATTGCCTTTAAAGGTTAAAGTTTTGGATCTGGGTCAGTAGAATTGCCTTCAGAGGCATGGGCCACTAAAGTGCACAATCGAATGGCTCCACTTGGAACAATGCCCCGCCCAGGGTCAGAAAGTAACATCCACTAAACACACGATACTGCATTTTTATATGGTTCGGTTCATAAGCTACTGACAATGCTTCAAAGCCACCAGACTCCATTGACAACCTGTGACAACCTCATAGAACACCGGGAGTGCTGGTCTAGCACTGCCTCTCGACGGTTAGTGTTGTGTTATTGATAATACTCATTGTGAGTGCTCTAGTTTTTACTTTTAAGGGGAACTGATAAGAAGCCAATTTACAAAGACATAATTTGTTTGTTTACGTGTTTATTTAATTTTAAAAAATTAATTACATAAAAAACATTACGAACAGTTTGCATTCAAGAAATTTTTTTCTTAATACATTACAGAGCTATTCGATTGTCAAACATATGCGAGTACATTGTATTGATTTGAATAATGTACTTGAATGTGCACTGTGCACCTGTATCATCTAGGAAAATATCCGATCAGATATCAAACAAATTAATTGATCGAGCATCCCTAATAATAATAATAATAATAAATAAATAATATAATA